GTCAAAATTTCAAAGTAAATCAAATATCCTACCTAAGTGTTTCTTTCATGTACTGTAAATGTATACTTTTTATAGGGATAGCACGAATAATTTGCATGTTATTTCAGTTACTGAACGAAAATGCGATACCTTAAATGGTTCTGATAAAAACAGTTTTAGTAATTCATATTTTGTTAAAAATCCCGCGTGGTATACCGGCATTTTAAAACATCAAGTGAAAGTTTAACTTTTAATGGTTTGTCACTAGATCAGTTAAATTTTACACTTTACTTTTTCCCAAGAGGGCACGGTAACGATTCCTAAAATCTGATTGGTCGTTAATGAGGTCCGGATTATCCTATCGACGCCCACGGGTACGGTTACGCTTTCGTGTGTCGCCTAGTACATCTCCTGTTTCCTTGCTTTTTTTCATTTATGTATTTCGCTTTGCTGGCTGGGCAGTATTAAATTTTTGAAGACTCCGTTCATGATCTCAAGCCGATTAATTTCTTAATAATTGTTTTCTCTCTCCCTCAAATCACTTTGGTTGCTTGCAAAAAGTTGGTTTCGAAACGAGTTTTTGATAGCAAATATGTAATTGAATGGATTGACACACTGAAGCTATAGGCTGTTATTTGTAAAAACCTGTTAATTCTTATCATTCAGCTTTTTGCGATCGTATCGGTCGGGGAGACTATGTCACCGTTCTAAAAATTTGGTGAAAGTTTCCTAATTCCTTGAAAGAAAAGTTGTCTCCAAGGAGTCGCAACTCGTGAGTCAGAGTAGAGGGTTTCAATAGGGTGATGGCTTTTTCGATTAAAGGTTAAAATTTGTCACTTTCTACGTCTAATGGCTAATTTTTTGGCTGTTGTACGGCTAACGGTTAACCCCATGGAGACCCTCAGTGTATAATTTCATGGGATGTACTTTGATCATCTAGATACTCACTTTCCGTAACTAAAGCCGCAAATAAAACGGGATTTGAAAGTTTGATACATATTATCAATGCCTTGAGTCATGACCTAGAGCCAAATATTTTACCGTCCAGCCCGAGCAAACTCAGTCAATGAGCATTTTATCATATGACCACTTAAGAGGACGCGATACACGGGCAAACGCGGGACAACCACAAAAAGTATTCTGCAATTAAAACTTTTCCTTTGTTTTTCAGGTCAGAACAAGAGACTCACAATTAATCGAAAAATACGACTTTCTTACTCTTTTCTTTTTTCCTTTAGGTTTTTGCTACAAAGCCGTGAGAGCGCAGGGCCGGACGGCGGCCTTTTGGGATCGGCTCCAGTCAACCTTTTCGGCCCTGCACTCGTCAGCTTTCACTGTGGTTTTCTACGGGATCATGCTCGCGGGGCCAAACGGGTCATGTTATTACCTCAGTTATTCTCAGCTGTTTTGGAAATGAACTTAGTACATGACCCAACGTAACTCAGTTAATAAACTTTTTCTTTCTCTTCGGATTTTCCTTCATTGCTAACGCCATCACGTGTGGTCCTCATACGGGAATTGTTTCCAAGTATAATAACCAAAAGCGCGTGGGGCCGTGCGGGTCATATGGTAATTCAACCATGTGAGATTTCTTCATCAGAACTAGAGTGTCTAAATTTACCAAATTCTTCATCAATCCTGCGTCAAACACAGAAATTAACTGCGGTATAAAAACAAAACAGGGATAAAATGATAATGAAACTTAATTGCTGGTAAAGTGTTAACGTAGCCTTCTGTCGCCGTTGTCAAATCAGCACCTTTCAGATAAATTTCATAGTTGGAAAAATGACATTTGATTTATTTCCAGAAACAGAAGTTATTTATGAAAAATCGGAACAAGCCACAACATTCCCTGATGAGACTTGATGAACAGGTAGTCACATGATATCGAGGTCGGTTGTCATATGATATTGTAAAACTGATTTATCATCCAAAGATTACAACTCAAGGAGGGCTTACCATGATGGCACGCAGCATGATGGAACTCAGCACCCTTTGCACCTAGGCCATAAATCTGAGCGCAAAAAGCTCGGCCTGTTAATTAAAGTACAGACTTCGAGCTCGGTTGGTATGGGGTAATCGTATGCATTATAAAAATTCCAGGATAGGCGTTATTTCAGGAAGTACACATTTAAATTCAGGCTGGGCCCCTGTAACGCAGGTCCGATGGACCTGTGATCACCCTTAAGAGTGCAATGATATAAAAGAGCGTTTTTGTTTCATTTAAAGAGTTAAAGAAAATGCAATGTTTGAAACTTACCAACAAAGATGCAGAGAAAAAACAAGCAACAACTTTCATCTCGAAGACGTTGTCTATTGCGGAGGACGGACTGTTTTTGTACAAAGTCTGAAGCGTAGTGCAGCAAAGATAATGACCAGAGAAGCTTTAGGCAGTTCATTTGATAGCAAACTATCAAGAGTGGCTTTTATTATCGCAGTCAATTCTAGCCAATCAGCATCTTTCAGAAACAATATCACAGTTGGAAAGATGACTTTTTATCAATTTCCGAAAATAATTTTTTTTGCGAAATTGGAACGGGCCAAACATCCCCTAATGAAACTTCATCGCATAAAAGGAGAAAATTCCCTCAATGGACTAAACTGCAAATAAACAGGGATTTTAAAATAAGGTACTTATAACCAATAATTTAAGTCATTTAGACAGGTAATCACGTGATATCCAGTGCAATTTGGAATAACAAGCACGGGTGAGGTTTTTTATTTGCACAAGGAAAATTATGTGATAAATTATTACAATGTACACTCCAGTACATTTCGATGTCACAACAACCGCGTTACATCACAAAATCAATTAAAGTTTTTTAAATTAAAAAAGGGTTCAAAGCCCATCCTCAGAGATCCAGGGGGCTGTGAGTCGATTTCAAGTCATGGCAGAAGAGCCCCTAAGGACATTGTCTTACAAGACTAGTTCCAAACGGTCGCAGTTGTTCTGGCATCTGATTGGTGCCAGAAAATCTTTGTGTTTTTCTGCCCAATCAGAGTGAAGTATGAATAAAGGGGTAAGTTTCTAAAGAAACTGTGGTGCTGCGTCGGTGGGAGAGTATAGCAGGTAATTTAGTGTTAACAACTGAGTTGAAAACGTAAATTAGGTAAAAAAGCTGACTTTCGAGCGTTAGCCCTTCGTCAGAGCGATTCAGAGTGAAGTATGCTTTGGAGTCCTTTCATGTGTTTTAACACGGACATGTACATGAAGCTCAGTTGCTAGCCTTGTTTGTTTAGGCCGTGCGACGAAGCTTTGCTCGAGGTGAAAAGTTTCAGTCTCAGCACACAATGTAAGAGAAATCGATCAGATTGTCCACGAAAATCTTATCAGAAATTATACTTAATAACTTATACTTAATGCTGTGAATGAAACTTTGCCAATCCCGTGAAGTTATTTTGTCGCACTGGCCACGCAGGTATGTCAAGCAATTGGCGCTTATGCTTACAAAGCTTTCTGTGCGCGCCAAAATCTAACCCCTACACAGTAGTAAAGTCTTTCACAGTATGGCCAAGATTGCAGAAAACGCTAAGTTTGTGGAAGACCTCCAGCAAGCGCTTATGGAGAGTTTAGCTGTGTTTCCAGATAGCAAATTAAAATCTGAACAAAAACTTACAATCGAGAACATTGTGGGAAGGAGAGATGTTTTCGGACAATTACCGACGGGGTTTGGAAAGAGCGTAATCTTTTCAGCTGCTGCCAGGACAAAGGCATACCGTTTTTTTTTTTGGAGTCTGTCACCTCCCAGTTACAATTACGTTTCCACGATGTTTCAATTCTATAGCGACAAGTGTCGAAAATTGCACGCGGAAGACCATCGTCTGGTAGAACTTTGTATTGAAAACTTCTTTAAATATTTTCATAAACTCGCCTTTAAGGTTTCTTTTTCTCTTAATTTTGATAAAAACGAAAGAGCATACTCGACAACGGTCTGAAACATTTTCACTCGGATTATTCACAGTAATCGTAAAAAAACCCCGAACCTTCCCTAAACAACCAGTCGAAGGAGATTTTATTTTGACGCGCACAGAAAGCTACGCAAGCGTAAGCGCCAGTTGCTTGACATACCTGCGTGGCCCGTGCGACGAAATAACTTCACGGGATTGGCAAAGTTTCACTCACAGCAAATTACACGAGAAATCTAGGACGATTTAAGCTTACATCTCGTCTAACGTTTGAAGTGACATATTAACGCCTGCAACCATTATGTTTTGTGCGAACGTCGCAAATTTTTAAATACGTTCTCCTGTGATACTTACGAAAGTACTAAGTATAATTTCTGATGAGATTTTCGCGGACAATCTGATCGATTTCTCTTACATTGTGTGTTTTACATTTCCCAACCCTTTTTCCGTTTATTCGCATTTGCTTTGATCAAAACGCTGGGCGCTGTTGTGGAAAGATGCTCAAAATTACAAGAATTTAGCAACCTTTCAGTGGCTTTTAATTCTTTTGTAATGGTGTGGTAACTTTCCTTCTTATCTGGAAAACTGCAAAATTGAATATGTGCTATAAGTATGTAAAGTTGATGCTGTTCAGGAAGGTTGTCATTTCTGCTTGGGCAAAAATACTTGCATAAAAGGATTACAGGAGAACCTGCTAACTCGAACTCCTAAGGGAGGAAAAAAACAGTTCAAGTTAGCAGGGGCTCGAGTTAGCTGATTATAAAGGACTGAAAAATTGAGCAAAGTGAAATCGAATCTTGCTCAAGGGCACCAACCCAGTTTCTCCGGCACTGGCTGTAGAGATTTGCAGCATCGATGTTTAACGGTGCTGGTGCGGGCAACAGTTGTTCCATCTCTCGTAGACCCTCTGCTGGTTCTAGCTGTTCGATTTCTTCTGCCTTTTTTGACGACAGATTGGCAGATGACGTGACAGCTTTAGCTGTACTCGGATAGGGCACGCTCTTCCAATCAATGACAGGGCGCGTTATATTATAAAAAAATTATTCGAAAGAGCCTGAGTACAAGTAAGTTCAATTCCCATTCTTCCTCTGTCTTAGTCCTTCTCGAACTGTAATTCAAGATGGCGGAGGCAAATCGCAGAACATCGCGGTTGAGCATAAAACATGTATTTTCGGGAACACTTGTGCACTCTACTGCAGCCAATAGAATGGAAATATGTCCAAAGAGGATTATAGGAGTTGATCATGACGGAAAGGTAAATTATTTCTCGCTCCCATTGAGAAGTCGGTTCTCGTTAAATTTTGCATTTACAGTGCACACAGTGTTCTGTTTCTATTGTTTGTTTTGTCCAATCATCATTTTGTTACAAACTTTAAATTCAACTTTGTACTTTGTGTTATTCAGAGCTAAAGATGACAGAAGAGCTGTTGAAACATGTTTGTTAATTTTAAAAGTGTCGATCATTTTCTTAAATTAATTATAATCCCTTTTCACGCAAATTCACGCGTCACGAATATAAAAGGAAAACTTCAAATCTCTCTTCTCGTGCGGAAGGCTTCACGGAAACCCAAAGGTTTTTACGAAATGAAAGAAAAAATTCACAACTAACGTATATTTCAGAGGCAAACCACGCCTCACACTGGTTCATAAATTCCCGAATCACGCTCGCTTTTCTGTAAAATTCACGTGTTACATATTAATTTTGGCCTTAATCACGCATCACCTATAAAGCAATTTGCCGCCCTCTTTCACGACTCTGGCCTTCTTGCTTAACTTTCCTAAAAGTTCTTTGTTTATAGACTTTGTCTGAGTAGTTATTTTAGCTCGTCGTGGATGGTAAATGCACAATGAAGTCAATTTAAATAACATGGCGGAAGATGGAAACGTTGTTGTTATGGAGTTGAATGCTTTGCACTTCCAATTTTGAAAGGAAGGCAAATCACCTAGAATTGTTTTCTAGGAACAGTTGAAGAAGGGAATGCTTCTCCTAAAAATCAGAGCTCACCAACAGTTCTCTAAGGGTACCAGTGTACTGTCACTACTTGACTGCTGGAAATTTCTATCATTTATTGTAGATGAGGGGCAAAGCCTGCATCATCATTTCTGTTTAACCCTTTACACCCTAACATCAGTATGCTTATTCTCCATTCTGTTCACTATGCATTTCCTAAGGTGCTGACAAGGAGAATTCATTTAAGAATCACAAGCTTCTTTAGTTGGTGATTATTTCCTTTATTCTTGTGCCCTTAATGTGTGATATGGGGGTGAAATTCAATGATAGTCACTCTTAGGTCTCAAAGGGCTCAAATGGTTAAAGCAGCTGAGAATGTAAACGCCTTTAGGCTCTGCCTACTGAATGCACTCCTTAGTGGAAATGTCACACACAGATGAATCATTTCAATCTTCTATTCTTGTCTAATTTTTGTTTTAGTTCACTAGTGTTTTTAACGTGTACTGGCCTTTCGTATTTATATTGTACTAGCCTTAGTTTTCACTTATATATATTTTTAGGCCAATACAATGTTACTATAATATCACAATAATTTTAATGTAGGCTTTGTAACTGAAAAATCCAGCTCGGGAGTTGCAATAAATGTATGTATGTATGTATATGGTTAATGTTGGGCTGCTCACTTTTATAACTGAAAGTGTTTTTTTTCTTGTTAGATAGTTTTTATTGATAATGCTTCTTGTATGGAGGAACTTGCTGAAAGGTTTGGATTTAATGAGAGAGATGTAATCACCCTAAAAGAGAACAGGTAGAGTAATAATTTTTTTTTATTGATTTTTGTTCATACATAAAAATGTGATAACTTTTTCGGGAAAGGATTTGGTAAAAGTTTTATTTGAGGCAAAAGTAAGTGCAATCTAAGAATTTGTACTTTCATTCGAAAAAACATGAGCGTGTTGTGATGAAGAGAGTCTATTTAATATCCCCAAGTGCAAATATTCTTCCATCTTGTTTTTAGTCCAAATACATTGCAGATTTTTTATTGTAACATCTGACGGATTGTTATTGTATAGTCTGATTGCTGGGGTGGGTGTAATCCTGAGAAGGACCATTGTCTGTTATAGTGACTGAAAAGTTGTTCATTGTGATGGTACCCCTTTCATAGTAAGTTGTTTTTATCAAGAACGCTAAGGTAATCATGTGAATCGGTCACTGTAAAGAAATTCTAAACCTGATGTTTCAAGTGCAAGTCCTTTGTCAATGAAATCCTTAGAGAGTAGATTTGCTCTAACATAGGCCAACACTCAAAACATCAGCTTAAGAAAACCTTTACAATGACCAATTCATCTTATGAACTCAGTTGGGAAAACTGAATTATCTTGTACTATTAATAACATCACAGTTTCAGTAGAAATTAAATCCCTTTAACTCTTTCGAGGGTCACTTGCAGAATCTTTTGTACACTTGAATGTTAATAAATGTTTCTTTGTTATGACTTTTTTTAGACAGTTTTTGATGCCTGGATTAGTTGATACTCATATTCATGCTCCGCAGTATATATTCACTGGAACAGGCTATGATGTGCCTCTCCTACAGTGGCTTGAAAAGTATACATTTCCCTCTGAAGCAAGATTTGCAAACAAAGAATTTGCTCAGAATGCATACAGAAAAGTTGTGGTGAGTTCTATTCACTTATTTTTATTTAGCATTTATCAGTCATTTTGGAAAATCTTCCAAAATGACCAATAGTGGGTAAATGAATAAATTCTGTGTATGATAGTCTTTTTGGAAAACAAACACAGCTTGGAGCAGTTTTTAATTACTACTAGTTTTTTTTTGGTAGGTTTTTACTTTGCTTTCCAGAAGTTAATTATTATTCAAACAGAATACAAAATACTCACTTTCATAGAAAAGTTCTGTTTCACATTCAGATATCTTGAGTGAGAAATGAGGATTATTATCAAGAAACTCTAATTGGAAGGGGGAATAGAGATTGCATTTTGGCTTGTGGAAGGCTTGTTTAGTTGAAGGCTTTAACTAAAATAATGTCCATACCTGTAGCTGGTATTGTCACATGGCATTTTTATGGAGACATCTTTATACAATCAAGCACCTTAAGGTGTAGAGATTTGCTTTGAGATAATAATGTAACTTGAAAAGAACTCAATATTCTTGTTCACCCAGACACCTGAATATCTTTTTTTTTATATGTAACATGATCAAGGAAAGGTTACTCAAGAATGGAACAACCACTGCATCATACTTTGCAACTATTCACTATGATGCTACAGTAGTCCTCTGTGATGTTATAGGTCAGTATGAAAGGGTGAGTCCCTTAGGAGCTTTTTCCAGTTTCTGTAGCATGTAGTAAGGACTTGTACAGGTTCTGGAAAATCTTGAAAGTCATGGGAAAAGACTATGGGTCCTGGAAAGTCCTGGATTAATCTGCTTAACTCAAGCAAAAAGTTTTCAGAATTTCTTTTAGAAGTAATGTGTGTAGCAGGTAATGAGAATTTATTTTGAAATCTTGAAGATTGAAATGGTGCTGAAAAAATCAATCTGAGCCCAGGGATGTCCTAGAAAATTCCTTGAAGTTTTTTCTCTGAGAAAGGATACAAACCCTGATGTAGTGATCAGGAGTACCATATTTTCTACTTGAAATCTGTTAAATGCTGCCCCATGATTAAGTGCTGTCCTTAAATGAGCCCTGCTTCTAAGAAAAAAAAAATTAATGATGTCTGGAATTTCCAGAGCTCTGTCATCTGAAAGTGTGGTGCTTATGCAGGACAGACAACTGCAGTATGAGTTTGTTTCAACTTTGTCTGGGACAGCCTAAAATTAACCCTGCATACCTTAGTATTTATTTAGTGGTAGAGACTGTTAGATCATTAGATTTTTATTGAACTAATTCATTACATTTTCTGTAGTTTCCTTAATCCCAAATTTTCATCAAATTTTCGTGATTAATGTAGATTTCCATTCTTTTTGAGTGAAGGTACATGCATGCTTATTGATCATTTAATTAATATATATATTTACCGTGTTTAGGATCATGTGAATTTTGTAACAATTGCAATGTGTCACATGGTTTTGGTGCATTTAAATTTAGCAGATGCCATTAGCAAGAGTTAAATGATGTTGAGTGTCATTAAAATGTTTGTAAAGTAGCAAAAAATAATTTTTTTTGTTACACAATGCATATGCCGAATTTGAACAGCTGAACTTGGACAAAGAGCATATGTAGGAAAAGTTTGTATGGACAGGAACAGTCCAAACTACTACATTGAGGGAACAGAGGACTCAGTTAAGAATGCTGACAGGTAAATTGTCTTTAGGTAACCCTTTCACTCCTATGATCTCATTAGTAATTCTCCTTAGTGTCTGCCATATAATTCTTATGATTTTAGTTAAAGAATTTGGTATTGGATCAACAAATATTTTCTATATTCTCCATTTGTCTGCTTGGTATTGTGTTATTATGGCAAGGGGTGTAAGGGGAAATTCTGTCTCGTCACTAACTCACTTGGTTAGAAAGCATGTTTAACCCTATAAAAAGGCTTACTTCAGGTAGCCAGTACTACTAATATATCTGTCCTACTAACTCTATCATGTTTTTAGGGTTAAATATAGTATGTTGTAACAGATATGTTGATACATACACTTATATTTTAGTACAAAGCAAAACACTGGTTGTGAAAAAGATATGAATGTTTATTTCAATTTTTTGTTTTGGCAGGATTATTACCTATATATTAGGGATGAAGGTAATTAAAAAGTAAAAAACACGAATGCATGTACATGTAGCAACAAACTTTCTAAATTTGAAAGGAATGACTGCAGAAGTAGCTCTAGATAGCAGCAACTTGGCTTCCCTGATGTGGTGGGGTGTCTCAAAAAAATCCCTGAAAAGAAACTAGCGATGAAGAATTGCAGAATGAAAAGTGATGTTCATTTGGAAATGACAGATATCACAAACTGTACTCTTTCTCTGCAGACACACACACACATACACCCATAAGCATTAAAAGAAGCTAGTGTTCTGTAATTTTCCATACCCTTTGTGTTAGATCCAAGTGTAACATTTTTTTTTTATTATTCGTTCTTGCCTAATTTGTTTTTCCTTTGCGTACGCAAATTAGTTTATACTTCTTTTCGTCCATTTGTTTAGTCTTCTTTTTTGGCGTTAATTTAGGTGTTTATCTCTTTCTGTCAGTTTTCGTGCCCTCGTTAGCGTTTCCGTGCTGTTTCATCTTCATTAGCGCCTTTCTATAGTTTTATTTTCCGCATGTTCTAGCGTATTTTCATATCGTAGTTTGTCAGTACAGTTTGTGAGTTCAGTTTGGTCCGCGCTTAGCGCAGTTCTGTTTAGTTTGTTTCTAGCCTCTTCGCGTTATTCGCAGTCCTCTTTACAGAAGTTTTCTCTGGCCAAAACAATGTAAGTGTACTTCACAGTCCTCGTTTTGCAGTTTTGTTATTTCTTTACTCTAATTTACCTTAGTCGCAACTTGTAACTTTTTTGCTTTTTTACCGTTTTAGTTTCAACCCACACTCTTAGTACCAAGCACGTCGGCTCCAATAAATCTTTTTCTTTTTATTTGGTTTGTGGTGTTATTATTCAAGGCCAGGAGTCTTGCAGGTTTATTGCAGTTTCATCGTTGAAAATTGTTGGTGACATGTCGTTTCGTCATGAGCTTTAGCCGCAAGCAGCTTACAGATCCCGTCGCTCGGCGAGTTGGAACACGCGTACGACAACCAAACCGTTCGCTGGATTTTGAAGCGTCTAACCTGGAAACACTTCGTTTCAAGAAAAATTCAAGGTCTGGTCACCTATCTACCGTAACCGCCATTTCCAATGAAATTTCTGGCTTGCTTACTGATGATCATAATCTTCAGGAGGTTAAAGGGAAGCTTCCTTACTTGGACAACGCTTTTGAAAGATTCAAAGAGGCCCATCGCGATTACGTCGAAGAAATTCTGGATGAGAACGCCATTATTGAGGAGCAACGCTATCTTGAAGACAAGGAGAGAAAGGTTCGTGTGTTCCGTCAGGAGATCATCGAATGGATAATTAATATTGAATACAAGCTATTAGCAGAGTCGCTTCGGGTGGGTTCGGCAGTGAATCCCGAGGATTCAATTAGTTGTGCTGGCACACCAATTCCTTCAGGTGCTTCCAAGGTTTCAAAACATTCAAGTCGAGCAAGTTCACGTGGTGGTCGTGCTTCATCAGTTGCAGCCGCGAGAGCCAAAGAAGCCGCAAGAATTGCCGAGTTAAAAGCTGAAATTTCTATGCTCGAAAAGCGCCAAACACTCGAAGAGAAAAAGTTTCGTTTACAGCAGGAAGAATTACGCCTTAACCTCGAAGCCGAAATGATCAAGACAACAGCTAAGGAGAGGGTCTACGCAGCAATGACCTCCCCTTCCCTACCGGAGGTGAAGCCTTTAAAATTGGAGACAGAGCTCCAGGATCAGGAACCCCCTCGTACCAGCCGCCGCGCGAAAAGGTCTTTTCCAGGCGAGGTGCACCACCCAGGCCAGGGCGTGTCTATGGATTCTGTTCCTTACGGCCAGTTTGATTATCAAGCCTGTACAGTCGGTGAGGATCTGAGAAAGGAAACGATTGGTTTGCAGCGGCAACAGACTGCTCTTCAGTTTCAGCAGAACAGAATTATGGAATCGCTAGCGCATAATCAGAATAGGAACAAACTTCCGCAGCCCCGTGTCCCTGTGTTTGACGGAAACCCTATTGAGTACCGCACCTTCGTTCGCGCTTTTGAAAATTTGGTTGAATCCAGAACATTTAGCAGTACTGATAGACTCTATTACCTCGAGCAGTTCACCGCAGGGGACGTTAAGGAACTTGTAAGATCCTGTCATCATTTACCAACGGAAGAAGGTTACGATGAGGCTCGTAGGCTTTTGAGAAGGAAGTATGGTGACGATTATCGCATAGCATCCGCTTACGAGATGAAGGCCCTCGACTGGCCGAGCATAAAGGCAGAAGATGGTGTGGCTTTGAATCGTTTTTCAGTCTTTCTCGCAAGTTGCAAGAACGCATTGGCAGGTAGCCAGTACATTTCTAAGTTTGATCAGCCAGGAAACATTCAAAAGTTGGTGCTCAAGATTCCTTACAGCATGAGAGAAAGATGGCGTCGCTTAGCTGATGACATCATGGACAGACAGTTAAGGCCAGTACAGTTTAGTGACTTCGTCGCCTTTGTTGATCGCGAAGCAAGAATACTAACCAACCCAGTCTTTGGCAAGATATCCGATACCGTAAGATCGGCGCCTGGTCAGCGGTCCTATGGTGGCAAGACATCCAATCCCAAGAATCTCAGTCTCTTAGCACATGTAGGCGATAGTGAAGGTCATACCAGTGAAACTGTTCCGCAGGGTGTAAAGGAGCCAAGTCAACGCGCCGATGGAGAGCAGAGACCTCAGACTCGCAAGGTTCAGCCAACTGGAATCGATCAGGGTCCCTCACAAGGGAAAAATCGGTGTCTCTATTGTAGCAGAAACCACGCCCTTGAGGATTGTCAATCATTGCGGTGGAAACCCTACCAAGAGAGAATTCAATTCCTGTTGTCCAAAAAGCTGTGCTTTGGATGTTTATCCACCGAACATGTCGCAAAGTTTTGCCCGCAGAGGAAAAATTGCAAGATTGCGAACTGTAAAGGACGGCATCCTACTGTTTTACATACAAGCCCTCGTGAGAGACCAGCTGTCGACGTTGGAGTGGGTACGGAAGACGTAATCAGCACTCAAGTTTGTAGTCACATGGTAAAAACGGGCACCAGTGCCAACAGTGAGACTTCAGGAGAGGGTCGTAGGACAGGCATGGCCGTAATACCAGTTAGAGTAAGAGCGAAAGATAGTGATAAGAGCGTCATCACCTACGCCTTCCTGGATAACGGTAGCAACTCCAGTTTCTGTACTGAATCGCTCATGAAGCAGCTCGGGATTAATGGTCAGCAAGTTAAGATATCCCTGTCTACTCTTGAGAAGAAAAATAGCATCACCAACAGCTTCCTGGTTCGCGACCTTCTTGTATCCGATTTGGACGAGAACGAATGGATTAGCCTCCCGACCCTTTATACCAGGCCGGAGATTCCTGTGTCCAGCAGCGACATTCCAACTCAGGATGACGTTGATCAGTGGCCCCACTTGCAAGGAGTTTTTCTGCCTCGTCTCGACGCTGAGGTTGGCCTTTTGATTGCTAGTGACGTTCCCAAGGCTCTCGATCCACTTGATATCAAACACAGTCAAGACGGTGGTCCTTATGCTTCAAGAACTCGAATCGGCTGGGCGGTAAATGGTCCCTTAGGCCGTCGTCACCATAGTTCACGGTCATCCACGTTTGTTGCTAAAGTCGATCACCGGCTCCAACAGATGATAGAAGACTTCTACAATCGCGATTTTACCGATCCCACCGCTGATAGCAAGACAGAGATGTCTCAAGACGAACGTAGATTTATGCAAATCGCCGAACAGACGGTGGAGTTGAGAAATGGGCACTATCAAATCTCTTTACCTTTTAAGGATCGCCAAACGCCTGTACCCAGCAACAAGGCTCAGGCCTGGCAGCGCGCCATTTGGTTGAAGAAAAGGCTGGAAAGAGACCCGAAGTTGTATCAAGATTATAAGGCCTTTATGGAAGACATTCTCTCCAAAGGATATGCACGCAAAGTGTCCCCTGATCAGAATAGCCCCGCGAAGGGCACCGCCTGGTACATACCGCACCATGGTGTTTACCACCCTCGCAAGCCAGGAAAGATCCGCGTCGTGTTTGACTGTTCGGCCAAATTTATGGGAAAGTCCCTCAATGACATGCTGTACAAGGGCCCGGACCTAACTAGTTCGCTTGTAGGAGTCCTGTTGAGGTTTCGTGAAGAGAGAGTAGCCGTCATGGCGGACATAGAGTCCATGTTCCACCAAGTGAGAGTTCCCGATCCTGATAGTTCCTTTCTGCGTTTTCTTTGGTGGGAGGATGGCAACATGGCGCGCGAATTACAAGAATATCAGATGGTCGTTCACTTGTTTGGAGCCATTTCATCACCGGCTTGCGCAAACCTCGCACTCCGCAAGACAGCAGAAGATAATCGTCACAGCTTCCCTCCTGACGTCATTAACACAGTTAAAAGAAACTTTTATGTTGATGATTGTTTGAAGTCCCTCCCTGGCGAGCAGAAAGCCATTGAGCATGTTGGCAGTTTATGCAGTTTACTATCACGTGGTGGTTTCAAGCTAACCAAATGGGTCAGCAATAGCCGTGATGTTCTGCAAGCTATCCCTGAGAAGGAGCGAGCAAAGGACATCAAGGACATGGGCATAAGGAAGGAAGAGTTGCCTGTTCAGCGAGCCCTGGGAGTTCAATGGTGTGTAGAATCCGACTCGTTCCGCTTCAGAGTCAACATTAGCTCCCGTCCACAAACGCGTAGGGGTATCTTGTCTCTAGCGAGTGCTATTTTCGATCCGTTGGGATTCCTGGCACCGTTCGTTCTGACCGCGAAGGAAATCCTTCAAGATCTTTGTCGCGTTAAGCTAGGATGGGATGACGAGATCCCGACTGAGTACGCTGCACGTTGGGAAAATTGGCTAGCAGATGTTCCAAAGCTCTCGGAGTTTGCTGTGAGTCGCTGTTTAAGGCCAGAGGATTTTGGTCCCGTTAAATCCAGTCAGCTACATCACTTCTCTGATGCCTCAGAGGCAGCTTATGGCTCAGTGACTTACCTTCGACTGCTTAGCCATGAGGACCGAGTTCATTGTTCCTTCCTGTTTGGAAAATCACGCGTTGCTCCTTTGAAAACTATCTCTGTTCCTCGTTTAGAGCTCTCGGCCGCAACCGTTTCTGTGCGACAAGACAAGATGCTCAAGGAAGAGCTGGAGATGCCTCCTAATTGTGAATCCGTGTTTTGGTCAGACAGCATGTCAGTGCTTCGTTATGTGAAGAACGAAAGTACGCGTTTCCACACGTTTGTTGCCAATCGGGTTGCCGTACTACGAGAGGGCTCAAGTCCAGATCAGTGGCGCTATGTGGAAGGTGTAGCGAATCCTGGAGATTGCGCTTCAAGAGCGCTGACTGCCAAAGCATTGTTGAGCTGCCAAAGATGGTTACTGGGGCCGGAGTTTCTTTGGAAGTCAGAAGAAGATTGGCCTAGGAACCCCTTATCCCTTGGATGTCTTCAAAACGGAGACCCGGAAGTGAAGATGGTTTATAAGGTTTGTCACGCTTCTGTTTCCGAGTCGGAGCATCCTTTGGTTGAGTACTTTCAACGCGCGTCTTCCTGGCACCGATTGAAGAAGTCAGTTGCATGGTTTTTACGATACCTTGGAAACTTGAAAAGGTCAAGTAAACGCGGAAAATCGAGAGAGCCGATCCTTTCAACTCCCATCCTTTCTTTACCACCAATTACCGTTACGGAGTTGGCAATTGCGGAGCTAGAAATCCTCAGGAACGTCCAGCAGTTCAATTTTCCGGATGAGCTTGAGCTGTTAAGCAAGTCTGAAAACGGTACGCAAGTCAAGAAAAGCAGCAGCCTTCGAAGTCTGGATCCAATCTTAGTGAACGGCGTCTTACGTGTCGGTGGGAGGTTAAGTTTAGCGTCCACTGCATTTGAGGCCAAACATCAGATTATTTTACCCAAGAAGGATCACGTGACCAACCTTGTAGTAGAATATTACCACCAGATCTCCGGTCACTCTGGAAGAGAGTACGTTATCAGTCTTGCTCGCGAGAAGTTTTGGATCGTAAACGCAAGTTCTGTTGTCAGGAAAGTTCTTTCGAAATGTTTCAGTTGCCGGCGGCGTCAAGGCCCGTTCTGTGAGCAGAAAATGGCTGACCTTCCCGTGGATCGTGTTACCCCAGGTCAGCCACCTTTTACATCTGTCGGCATTGATTGTTTTGGTCCTCTTCAGGTACGCCGTGGGCGAAGTCTTGTGAAAAGATATGGGGTCATTTTCACGTGTCTTTCTATCCGCGCGGTTCACATTGAAGTGGCGCACAGTTTGGAAACTGATTCTTTCCTGATGGCGCTCAGAAGGTTTATAGCAAGAAGGGGCCAGGTAAAGGAGATCAGATCCGATAATGGTACCAATTTCACCGGCGGAGAGAGGGAGCTCAGGGAATCCATCAACGCGTGGAATCACAACAAGATTCACGAAGCTCTACTTCAGAAGGGTATCAAGTGGAACTTCAACCCCCCCTATGGCTCCCATTATGGAGGTGTTTGGGAGCGCTGCATTCGAACAACGCGCAAGATCCTTCGAGCTTTGCTTCAAACTCAAACTGTTGACGACGAAGGTTTAGTCACCCTCCTATGCGAAGTGGAAAGCATCATTAATGGTCGTCCAATCACCACAGTTTCAGGTGACCCCAATGATCCGGAGCCCCTTACACCAAACCATTTGCTTCTTTTACGCTCGGAACCTCAGATGCCCCCTGGGTTATTCCAAAAGGAAGACTCCTTCTCTCGACGCAGATGGAGACAAGTGCAATATCTCGCAGATATCTTTTGGAAGAGATGGTCTAAGGAGTACTTGCCTCTGCTCCAAAGTAGGCAGAAATGGACGACGATTCGCGAGAACCTGGCCGTTGGGGATATTGTTCTAGTGAGCGCCGAAAATTCCCCTCGCAATTCATGGCCCCTTGGTAGAGTGGTAGAAGTCTTCGCAGACAAGAAAGGTTTGGTGCGCCGTACCAGAGTGAAAGTAAAAGGAGCAGTTTTGGAGAGGCCAATTGACAAGCTTTGCTTGCTGATAGAAGCTTGAACTTTCCCTTTGGAGTTATTTTCTGTGCAATTTTCTGAATTCAGGAGAAGAGAACATTAAGAACACTTAGAAAGACACTTAGATCTTTAATTGTTTAATTTAAGTGCCTCGCGTGTGCTCCTCACTTATGGGGCCGGTATGTTAGATCCAAGTGTAACATTTTTTTTTTATTATTCGTTCTTGCCTACACTTGGATCTAACACTTTGACACCCATTAGTGACCAAGACAGAATTTCTCCTTACAACATCAATACAATATCAAGCAGACAGGTGATGAGAACAAAGAAAAACAATCCATGAGGAGATTATTCATTGATCCAAAACCAAATTCTCCTGAACAACATTACAATAATTTTAGTAGAACAATTACTTGGCATAGTGGCTAGAGCACTGAAATTTAGCTTAAAAGAATGGGGTTCAAGGTCTTGCCAGTCAATATGTTCTGTTCTTGAGCAAAGCACTTTCCTCTCATTTGGCATATCTCCTCCCCAGAGCATAAATAAATATTGGCCAAGTGTCAGGAGAAGGGGGGAGCCAAGTTTGGTTGGACTAGCATTGCATTCTAGTGGAGTGAAAATAGTCCAAGTCACTTCATGCTTTGGAAATTGAGATAATCTCTGGCCAGATTACACTGTGGCCTCTTGGCACAATCCCCACCTGTACTTTGAAATGAATGCTTGAAGTTTTAAGAACTTAGTGAACTGTGACTGTCTTCTGCTGTTCACATTCATACTCATTCTGATGACTACATTAATTTTTTTTTTTTTTTTAGAATCCACTCATTACTCCTGTCATCACTCCAAGGTTTGTTCTGAGTTGCACCTCAGACCTGATGAAGAAGTTAGGGAATCTTGCAAAGGATTACAACCTCCCCATACAGGTCAGTTAATCCAAATCAGGAACTAAACAGTGCTCAAAGCCATGTCTGAAAATTTTTCTTTACTTTCAATACAGAAAAATGTGAATTTAAGTCTGGGGCAATAGGTTTCCAGATTTAGTTTTCAGCAATGATAACACATCTTAAACTTCAAAATTAGCTTCCTTTTGTAGTACTTAAGTGGTGTAATGTATAGTACATGTGTAATGCCAGAGAGGTATAATATTGTACATTGTACGTTAAGTACATGTGGAATGAAGTGAATGCAATTTGAAGGAGGCTCATCTCTCAATGCTCCAGCAAAGCTTCAGTTGATCAACTTGGCATAACATGTTGTTTGATTCCCTTGGTGCATCTTGTCCCTGCTTGGATGGTATTTTTGCTCCTAGGAGTGATTAACATATAACTTCTCCCTCTAATATCCACACATGATTTGTTCAACAGATAATGAAAAATGTCCAAACTTATCAGGAGGAAGTTGTCATCTTAGTTTAACACCAAGTTATTGTGACTAGTTTACAAGAAAATGTGCAGTAACTAGAAGGAAGAATAAACAATCAGATGTTGGAAGATAATAAAAGAGTTTTAATATCCTTAAAAAAAAGTCCTCGCACAATTAAGAGTTGTGATGCCATATCAGTGTAAATTTCAAAGAAAATTTATTAATTCTGTTGTCTTTTTCCTCAAGAGTCACTTAAATGAAAATAAGAAGGAAATATCGTTGGTTAAAGAAGAATTTCCAAATGAGAGCTATACTGCAGTGTATGATAAGCATAATCTTCTTAATGGTAAGGTGAGTAGATGAGCATTTAGTAATTTTGCTCCTTTTGTTATAAACTGTGAAACAAGGTTTTAAATTATCACTCTCATTATAGATACAGTGATAATTCTTGTAATGGTAATAATCATAATAATAAATTACTAACTAGTATAGATCAGTAAAAAGTTTTTGGAGGTTATTTATTACTTTATTTGTTATGACGGTATTTATGAATTCTTTTGCAGACATATATGGCACATTGCTGCCACTCCACAGAAGAGGAAATTAATCTTATGTTAGAAAGAAATTCTGCCGTCGCTCATTGTCCGACATCAAATTTTAAGTGAGTAATATCATGAAGCTAAAAGTTAACAAGGCTAATGTGGAGTTGGTCATAACCTTGAAGTTAGCTGAGTTTTTTGAATAAAAATGTTAGAGAACAGCCAGCAGATAGATTTGTGCATATGTAATACGAGCATCGTATTTTAGAAGTTAACGTCGAAAATTTGTAGCGATTTTGTCGAATTTTCGTGAAGACTTTTGTGTAGGCTTAGGAACGCGAAATGTCGAGGGACAATTTACCTCAAATTTCGAGCAGTAATTTCAGACTGTAATTAAGTTTGGGGCTTGGTTGAGTGTGTGGAATGTGTGGTATCAGAGACTGTTTTTTTTTCCCGATAAGTTTTTGCTATGAACTGCTATTGACAATTCCTAGGGTTCTCTTTTGTCAACTTCAAGTTCCAATAAGTTCTACCTTTGTTGTAGCATTCGAAGCGGTGTGGCTGATATCAGACACTACTTGAATAAAAAGATCAAAGTTGGATTAGGGACAGGTAAATTTTTATTTCCCAACTACTTGGTATGTAGAAACCAACATAAAAATCACGGGAGTGATTTTTATGGGGTGGGGTGGGGTGGGGTACTTCTTAGTTATAGGCTAATGGGGATGTACCGCTGGATGGGTTCGCATATTCACAACTGGATTAACTGTAATGAGGTTACATTTTCAATAGAGTTAATGCAATGGGGTTTATTATGGGGATTTTGAGGATAAGAAAATTTGGGAAGATTTGCGGTTAAAAAGGGGTTTATAATTAGCCACAGAATAGACTGTAATGGGTTATGAGAGGCCAACAGCACATACCCAGCAAAAATTGACCCCAATACTTCCCTTCTCCCCATTCCTGGATAGAATCCTTATCTCCCAAGAGTGACAGAATAGGAGTTTTCTTAACAATATCTGTATACATCGAGCAGAAAGTTGACGAGAAGATGGTAAAATCGAAACTAGGAAGTCCTGTCTGCTTCAACACCAAATTCTTAAAGCTTTTATGAATGTATGACAGAAAGGGAAAAGAACTGACAATTACACGGAAGATTTTGTCTTGGAATGAAACGGTTCAACTCAAATAACAAGGAGTAGAAAATACGGACACAAATCGATCGAAATTTAGCAAGTGTTATTTTTCACAGCTGTACAAGAAGTAGAACATGTGGGACAGCGCAGACGTGAAGGAAATGAACTTTAGAGGGAAAATTGACTCTATTGATGAAAGCCTTTTTAATTTTTTTAATTACTCAACAGATGTTTCTGGTGGAGAATCACCATCGATGTTGGTAGCCATTCGTGATTGTGTCAAAGCCTCCAATGTAATCAGTTTTGGCAAATCTGAGGAATTCACAGCCCTAACTTATGAAGAAGCTTTCTTTCTTGCTACTTTAGGTGGTAGTCAAGGTGATTCATGCATCATTAAATCTCCCTCCAGCTTTTCGTTTTTGTTTTTTTCAGTCCTTTTCAATGACACTCCAATTGCAAAGCCTAAAATTTTGGTTCGCATTTTCCATGTGTTTCCTAGAGGAGAATTTACTGTTATCGAGGATTTCAGCAGGATTGTGAAGAGGGCATAAAAATTCAGCGGAAAACAATTTCGAGCTTGATTTCCTTTCAGTCCTATGAAATGTCTGTCATTGTTGCGGTAGTCCATGGCAATCTTTATCAAGTGATGTGTTTTAATTCCGTTGTAGTGCTTGGACTTGACGACAAAATAGGAAATTTTAAGGTAAAGTGAAGCGTAATACCTACCGATTTTCACGAACACTTCCCGATGAAGAAGCTTGACGTTTTGTTTAACTTTTTTATTTAGGTCGGCAAAGATTTCGATGCATTATTAATTGACGTGGAAGTTCCAGATTCCCCATTTGATTGTTTTGATGCAGATGATTCAAAGGTAGGAGTTATCCATTTTTGACGTTCTACTGATTGTAAAAGATAGTTTTTTTCGTTTCTCAGCGTTTTAAATCAGCCTTAGTTTGTCCACTTGCACCGTCAGTGACTTAAATATTTCACGTCCTCTGTAATGTATTGGTATGTTCTCGTTTAAATATAGTTACTCATTAATTTCATTAATTATTTTTTGCGTACTTGCGTATTTTGAAATCGGGCTTGATACTTCTTTTTAGTAACCCCTTACCCCCTCCCCCCCTGGTATCAGTTGGAAGTTATCCTGAGCTTTCGAGGCTCAATGACCAACCGCTGTTCGGGAAAAGAGCCCGCACATGGCAAGGGTTGGCTTGCTGCATCATCTTCTTGCGTATCTTGTATCGTTCGACAGAGACGAGTGACGCGACTAAATGCTGCGCTTGTGTATCCTTATTAGGAACTGTAATTGAGTGAAAGACAAAATGGTTTTTAAAAAGACATGTTGATCTGTTCTTTTTTTTTTTTTTTTTTTTTTTTTTTTTTTTTCAGGATGCAGTCCAAAAGTTTCTTTACCTTGGTGAGTAAGATCGACAATTTGATCTCACTTGATTACTGTAAGTTGAATTTTAACCTATTGATCGTCGTGAGTACGAAGGAGGAGAGGCAGTCAGTCAGTTAAACAGAAAATTTCAAGTATCGAAAGTAAAACTCCAATTATTAACGTAGAATGAAATGAGTAGAATACTTATTAAATTAAAATGTACGTACATGAACTAAAAGTGTCATTATTGATTATTCGCACTCTATGCGACGAATCCTACTTTAAAATTTCTCTGTGTTGCTTAGTTCCGGTTGTTTCCGAAAGTGCCTTTCAAGTTTCTGTAGCGAAAAAATGAAAAAATCGGAACACATGTGTTTGTAACAATAAAGTAACTGTTGTTTTCTTATTGTAGGAGATGACAGGAACATTCGACAGGTTTACGTGGCGGGCAAACTTGTGACAGGAGAAGATTTCAAAACCCAAAGTGAAGTGGTGTATATTGAAATCGATGACTGACTGCTCAGGAGTTTAGTTTACCGTAGATCCTCGAATAATTGTACAGAGCGCTTATTTCAGATCTGGGATGAACCGGGGAGGGGATGGTGGAAGGCCTTTATTAAACCTTAAGCGCTGGTTTCACTTTCTCAAATTGGCCACCGTGTTAGCATTAGAAACGTCAGCCTCAATAACTCTTTACGGTGGCCAATTTACATTATCAACTCAGTTGATAAAACCGTTCTATCCTGTAATACCCTCTCTAATGGAGGGGGTTCTTTAAAAACTTACCCCCTTTATTCAGTAATATGTAATTTTTGTAAGGTGATATTCAAATATGAACTTAAAGAATTTTTCAGAGCCACGATCGGCGCTTATGGTGACTTTACCAAACCTAACGTGTGTTTAACGGCGACGTGACGTAAGATGTGATAATGTAGCAATTAGTGTTGGTAGTGCTATTTGTATTATAAGTTTTAAAAAATTGTTAGAAGCGGTTTGTAAGGTAAAAGAGTAGGTATGCTATCATCTGTACGTAATTCTTCTGTAAGTAGGTTTAAATACTGTATATTTGCGTTGCGCGTATATTAATGTAACTAGCGCAAGTAATTCAATGTACTCCTAGTTTGTTGTCGTCGTATGTAGATGTAAAATCCATTCTTCTTCACATAAATGTGAGAGGGCACTACCAGAGATATTGTAATTCAAGCGGAAGTATGCAGCATTGTGATTTCTGAAAAGTAATGTTTATTTGTGACATAAAGTTTAAAGCCGAATAAAAAAGTCATTTTCCATTTGTGGTCTCTCGACTTCGATTGGGTAGCTGACATTTTCGTGAAACTTGATGCAGTTAAAGGCGGACAAATTTACCGTGTCGCTTTGGCATAACACAATGATAAATTTTGCCATTACAATTTGTGTCACATGTCATTGCAAAATGAAATTGCTGGCCAATTGAAACGAGACCCCGAAAACTAAACCCAGTCATGAGGAATACACACGCTCAGTAATAATAATGGAGAGCGGAAAAACTTGATATGGCCTCACTAACCCAAAGATCTTTTCTTCAATCACAAACGTGGTCCATTTTCCTTGTGGCAACAGGCAGGCACCTTACGCAAGTAAATTAAAGCTTCCGAACAGGGAACGAAACAAGTCGGTACTTGTTTGTTACGGTACTTAAGCTATATTGACTGGGTTTTTATTATTCCTCTGGGCAAAGTGAGTGCAGGCGCAAAAGCCAAATCGCACCGTCACAGACCGTCACCGACCACCGGGACGAAAGGGCAAGCGCCAGATTTCGTTTTATATACATGCAAGAAACCATCGTTTTCTTTCATCCTTAGCTTCGAGAATCGAACATTCTCCAAATTCTATTTGCTGGCTGTAGTTGACAGGGAGGTTTCAGTTCATTGGGTAAGCAGAATGTTTCAATTGTTATTCGAGCAAATCCCTCAAACAGTAATCCTTCACAAGATTTAATCGACATACATTATGCATCAAAAGAAACAGCTGGGAAATATTTTTATATCGTTGCTAATGAGTTCCTAAACAATGAACCATCGATAGATTTACTTCATCTGAGTGCAATTTCTCGATCAGGTATGTTTTTAGTGATGATGTAAGGCTGCCAAACATTCTACGTAACTGAAAGCGGAAGATTTAATAAGTGTGCTCACACTGTTCCAAAATATTTCGACTGTTCACACAAATGTAGTTAATAAGCATCGTTCAAGTAGTGATAGAACTTTCATAGAATGGTTTTTTTAATTAATGCGTGGCATATCCAAGCATAATTTATAAATTTAGTTTGAGTTCTCGTTCATTGATGAGGAACGTGCCCGTGAGCGATAGGCATAATCTAATAAATGTATTAAATTTCTCGGCAAATAAAACTAGCTTTGATTCATTATTTTTCCTATTGAAGAGGGGGAATGAAGTAAATGTGATCTTCACTGAAAAAATGTGACCGAGATTTCTGACCAATATTAGTGGAAGTTTTAGGACTTGGGTTATATGCATCCATTTAAGAGACTTTGGTTTTTATTGTGTCGTGACGTTGTTCAATGTCGTTACGAAACAAGAGAACGTGTTATTAAGATTGACATTTTTTAAGACGTGTCGTCTAGATGTGATTTTCATCAAGCACTACGACAAAAATAGGTTTATATTACACAAAAAGAGAAATCAATTTAGACAAAAGGTTTAAGCGAACTGTTCTTCAGTCGGAATAATTGTGTAAGCGAGAGAGGGTTTGTTGTTCCAATTAAATCAGTTTACAACAATTGAAACGAGGTCTAATTTGACGATCAATGGACATCGAAAGTTCCACTTAAATAAGGTCTTCAAAGTAATTAGATCTTTCTTTAAGTCCTGAAAAGAAGCCTTTTAGACAGTTTTTGCGAAAACGTGAAGTATAGGTGATATTTCTGCTTGAATTAAGATTGTTTAGAACGTGGTTTGGATGAAAAAAGGTTAAAGTTTTCTTTCAATAACCGGCCTTTGAGTTTGTGGACTGTGCGATAATGTTTGAATTACAAATTAAAGAGTAGCGTGGTGGGTACATGATCCAGTATCAAATATCTTTTAAAGGTTGGAAGTTGTCTGCAATAAGATTTAATGATTGCTCTAAGATTTGCACCATTTTTCAGTGTGGGACAAAATTAGGTTAAGCTAACCAATTTGTTTGGTATTATTTGTTAACCAGCGGATGGCTTCTGGTCCTCCCTCAGTGGCTTCAACCAAGGAGACAACAAACTATGCACGGCTTTGTCGCCTTCTGGTGGATGTCGGGTCCCAGGTCTTAAGAGACACATTTGATGGTATACATTCGCCGGAAGGACTCCATAAAGTTTTGGCTCGTCACCCAGAACATGCAAAACTACAGTCTCTTCGGAAGAAGAAAGTTATTAATCCCACACAATGGGGGAAGTTGTTCCCTGTCGTTACAGCTTCTGTTTCATCAGCTAGCTTTGATATCACACTCTTAGTGGTGCTATTGAGGAATATCTGTGGTCTTAGTCCTCCTATCAATGGTTGGGACCGTCTTCCTCCTGTAGCAGAAGGCAGTGCATCAGCTAACATAGCCAGGGTGAAGTTTTACCGAAATACTACATACGGTCACGCTGAGCAGGCTGCAGTCGATGACACCACATTCAACACCTTATGGCAGGATATCGGTGATGCAATAGTTGGATTAGGAGGAGCAAAGTACGCTGCAGCTATTATCAAGCTCAAGAATGAAAGTATGGATCCTGATATGGAGGAACACTACAAGGAGTTGCTATCAATGTGGAAAAAAGATGAGGACAACATTAAAGAAAAGCTTGAAGAAGTGGAAGGTATGTTACAAAAGTAGTTGTTTTTAGGGTTGAGGGCTCTGAAAAAATGACGAAAGCGATTTTTAGGAAGTAAAATGCGACAGCTTGCATACATATTTGATACTCTGCCAAAAAGTACCTGAAATGTACGAGAGGTGCGTTCAGAGCAGGGCAGGCTTTTTTTGCTCTTGTGTAGGATACAAGTACATGTAAAATAGTCTTACACCTCATGAAGGTGAAGTGGTGGGGGATAGCTTGGCTATTCGGTGGATGTGACCTTATTTGTTGAATCTTATTGTTTGGTGGATGCGGACATTTCCATAGATCCCGGTTAATGTTGTGAAAAAGTTTGCATTAAAGAAACTTATAAAAATGTGAACGTAATCGTTTGTCCTGCGATAGAGTCACTTTCGCGACCTTTCAGATTCCCCCTGTTGGTCTTTTCAGGTGGTCAAGGAGACTCACAGTAAGCAGGTGAAACGTCACGATCCATATCGGAAGTGACTACATCGTAAGAAAAATGATCAGATTTCATTTCAGAGGTATCGCTCTTCCCATTTTCACAATTTCCCCATTCAAATTTTATTCTCTCACACGTTTTCATAAAAAACCATACAGAACTTTTAATTTAAAGATATTATGAATGTAGTGAAACTTTGTCGACTTTATCAACATGGAAACATTCTCGATCATTAAAGGAAAGCTTGAACATGTTGAAGAACAAGTAAAAAACGTCAGTGAAAAGTTAGATGCCATCCTTGGATCAAAGCAAGCTGAAGGTCAGTCTTCGAAACATTTAATACCGTTATCAGAACGTTATATACTCTTTCTTATTATCTGTGAACTTAAGAGGTTTGAAAGTGGCGTACAGGAATCAGGCGAAGTATTTGAGAAATGATTATGTAAGATGTGACTTTGTCTCAAAATAATTTGTGATTACCGTGTTGTGTGACTATGTTACAATAATTGGTATGGTCACTGTAACCGAAGTCACGCGTAATTGTGGTCATTCATTCATTTGAAATATCCACGTACTTTTTTGCAGTCGAGTGTATGATTGGTTTATACACACATACAAGCTAATTGTGTTGTAACCTAGAATGCCCCGAGGAAAACCGGGATACCAGACGAAATGCTTAGAGTATTGTAAACTGCTGGTTCCCTATTCCACCACTTCTTGGTCTTTGTGGATATGTAAAGTGCTGCACAGATAGCGCTGTACAGATAGTGCTGGACAGGTAGTGCTGGACAGGTAGTGCTGGACAGGTAGTGCTGGACAGGTAGTGCTGGACAGGTAGTGCTGGACAGGTAGTGCTGGACAGATTGTGTAAAAGCTCGTGGAACGCATGTCAGCATATTGAAAAAGCCAAATTCTTCTTTCAGATGATTTTGATCCAACTGAACTGATCGATGGAATACGACAACTTTACAAAGTCCGCGATGGATGGTTGGCACCATTTCTGTGGTGCGAGGACTTTTGTTTTCATCTTGGTGATATCTATACCAGACTCAGAGTGGTAAGCAGAATGAAAGCAGGAGGGAGAGCCACAGGACACGTTGTTACCATGTCTGAAATATTCAAGTCGCACGAAGAATGTGAGAATCCAAGATCATCGTTAATTGAGGGGAAGCCTGGTATGGGAAAAACCACATATTGCAAGAAACTTGTTTATGGTTGGGCGATTGGAAAGCAAGAAACAGGTGGCTTCCTACCAAGCTTCAAAATCGTGTTGTTCATCAAATGTCGCGATATGAAGGGAGACCTATGGGCGGCTATTGATGATCAGCTTCTTCCTCGAGGTATCGATGAGGCCGAGAAGGAGAAATTCTTCAACTTCATTCGCCGCAATCAGTCTGCGGTTCTGCTGGTCCTTGATGGATTGGATGAAGTTTCTGTGAGTAAACTACCAATGTTTGCCGAAATCATCCAAGGAAGGCTTCTTCCAAAGTGTTACCTGGTTGTTACAGCGCGACACGAAGCTGGAGTTCAAGTTAGAAGACATTGTGACACATTGCTGGAGGTTGAAGGGTTCACTGAAGAGGATGCGCGAAACTTTATCACCAAGTACTTCAAAACAAGGGAGAATTTGGCCAAAACTCTCATCGAAGAGATTGGAAAAGATAAAAAGTTGAAAGACATGGCGGCAAATCCTCTCAACACCGCACTTTTTTGCCTGGTTTGTGAGGACTTTGAAGGGGTCTTCCCAGAAAGTAGAACGGAGCTGTATGTGGAAATAGTGCAATGTGTTTTAAGAAGATACAAGCAAAAGAAACAACTGCCAGTAAACGGCGAAGACTTCATTGAAGAGTACGGAACCCAACTAAAGCACCTTGGCGGGATAGCACTTAACGGTTTGCTCGAAGACAACTTAGACTTTGACGAAAGTCAGCTTGGAAATCACAAAAGTGAGTTACCTGGATTTGGATTTCTCTCCGTTCAGCCTGGAGGCAGCAAATTAAGACCGCGCCGACGTTATGCTTTCCTTCACAAGAGCTTTCAAGAATGGTTTGCCGCGTACTATCTGAGTCGTCGATTGATTGCGAAGGAAATCAGCCCCAGCGAAGTAGCTGTTGACAAGTGTTTCATCCAACAGTTGAAAGAAGTCCTTCCATTTGTCTTTGGTATCTTATCAGCACGATGCGAGGAGACAACGGTGATCCTAGTCAAGAGCATAACGTCACACTTGAACCAGGAGGTGGATGAAGTCAGAGATAGATGGTTCAGGGTTGTATTGGACTGCATCAAAGAATGCAAGGAGGAGAACGATCTACCAACTCGCTTGTCACGTGATTTTGGCTCGCTTCTTCAACTGGAATTTGTCTCTCTTGAAAGGTCAAACGTTTGTGATCCTGATGTTGTTATTCTGGCTGAAGCACTTAAAACCAATACAACCTTAACAAGTTTACATATTTCATTCAATGCAATTGGAGAAGAAGGCGCTGTCGCTCTGGCCGAGGCCCTTACAAGCAATTCGTCCCTGAGAGTGTTGAATTTAGGTACTAATAGGATTCTTGGTCCTGGAGCCTGTGCGTTAACTGGTTTACTCAAACGCAACACAACTCTGACGGAATTGTTAGTACCTTTCAACAACATCCTCGACTCTGGTGCTGATGCTCTGGCCGAAGCCCTGAAATGCAACGTGTCTCTGTCAAGACTAGATTTGTCTTTTAATAACATTGGCCATCCTGGTGCTACCACCCTAGCGGGTGCCATTAAGTGCAATGGAACCCTGACGGATTTGAGACTGTCTGGCAATAAAATAGGAGACGCTGGTGCTTCTTTCCTTGCGGATGCAGTACAAGTGAACGCCAATTTAAAGATGATTCTTTTGGCTGGTGGTTCCATTGGAGATGCTGGTGCTACTAGTCTGGCTGAAGCACTCAAATGCAACAAAACCTTGAAAGACCTGGGTTTGCACGATAATGATATTGGAGATTCTGGCACCACTGCTTTAGCAGCTGCCCTTGAATGCAATAATTCCTTGGAAAGGCTGGATTTATCGAGCAACAAAATTACTGATCATGGCGCTCTCGCTTTATCTAATTCCCTTAAGAGTAATACTATTCTGAAAGAGCTGTATTTGGCTCGCAACAGCATCGGTTATCGTGGTGTTAACGTCCTAGCTGATGAAGCTAAAGGCAGCACGACCTTGACGAAGTTGCATTTGTCTGGCAACAGGGATGCCGAGGCTGTAGTTCGGGAACTCCGCTCAAAACTTGGCGATCTTATTGCGTAACCCAATCTACGTTTAGACTTTCTTTAACACTTTTAAATTGACCGTAGTGTAATCAAAGTCAAAATGATTACCGCAGCTAATCAGATGTTAAACATTACGAGGAGCCAATGGGAACGCAAAGTAAAAATATGTCAACGGACTCAAATGCAGACATAACCAGATCGATGGTGATTGGTTTTAGTTTTGAATACGATATGTGGAGATTGGGTACCAATTGTAATGCAAAATGAAGGACCGTTGCAATCTGGAAAGAACGTGGCCCCTCAAAAGTATTGAAAATGGTTTTAGCTGAACAGTATGTAAACACTCCGCATTTCTATGAAATCGAGTCTTACCTGTCTGCTGATCTAAGCAACATCATAAGCAGGCTAGGTAGTAACTAATGGTAACTATCTGTTTCTTAACTACTCTACTCTGCTCTCCTCCTTGCATTCTTAAATACTCTAATACCAAAGTTATGCTGTGGGAACGCATCAAAGGCTCTCGAGAGTTGCTAGTTTTAGTGTTTCAGCTTTTGACAAGACCTTTAGAAGGACCTACCAGTTCAAGTATCTCAGAGTCATGCTCGATCCAGGCCTTTCTTGGAGTGATCACATCGACCATATTGCCTCCAAAATATCTGCTAGGCTGGGCATGCTGCGGGAAGCCCGCAAAATCATTCCTCGAGAGGCCTGTATCACATTCTATGACTCCTCGATACTTCCACTGTTCGACTACTGCCGTGTAGTCTGAGATGGCTGTGGAAAACAAATCGGGACTACCTGGACAAATTGCAACTGCGAACACCTCACATCATCGAAGGGCGTAAAGTAGAAAATACAGGCAGTACTTTTAACTGACCTTCCTTAGAAAATCACAGGAAATATCACACTTGCCTACAAGTGTTTAAATGCCTACACAGTCTCGGGCCCGCCTATCTTTTGAATGAATTTAGTTTTTTCCGCCAATACCATGCCTACAATACCAGATATAGACCTGCTGCGATTATCCCTGGCTAAAACATCTAAATATCAAGGTTCCTTTAGCTACAAAGGTGCAGAGGTGTGGAATACTCTGACTAGTAAACTACGAAACATAAATTCACTGCCTATTTTTAAGAAAGTTCTCAAACTTCATTTACGGAATTGATGTAGTACCCTTTGTAATGTAACGTATATTGTATATCTTATGTGTAAATTTTAATTTGTGTTAGGGGCTCCCTTTGTATTTCATATTTAACCATTGGTTCATACGTCAGCGTGCGTTCATTGAGATATGAAGCACGCGGAAAGTTTGGAGAGCACGAAAGATCTGTAAGAGTTAATCGAGGCGTAGCCGAGAGAAACTCTAGCTTCTTGAGTGCTCTCCAAACTTCCCAAGTGCTTCATATCTCGATGAACGCACAGCTGACGTATGAACCAATTGTTTTATAACATTTTCAACCCAATGGTTTAAATGTTGTAAAAGGGTTAATATTCCCTCTGCTACGCTTCAGCGCGTTGATAATTTTGTTTCAGGAAAACATTTCGCTATGCTGTAAACGATCTTGTTTAGCTTAAATTGCCGCCGAAGTCTTAACCAGTTTTTTAATAGTAAAATCCCAGAGTAAAAAATCGCGGAGAAAATTTTTCTCTCGAGGGATTTGTATGCAGACGTCATGAACTTGCACAATAGGAATATGAAGCACGCTCATGCAATTGAATTTGATTAGACAAATTTACAAGCCATGTCATAATTCTAAATTCATTTTGTTTTACTTAATATGTCCTAAGCAGGCCCCCATTCAAACCAGTTTGAAGCTGAACTGGGCCAGCCTGCATAAATATCGCTAATAAATAAATAAATAAACTGTAACAAAATAGCGTCAGAAGCCAATTTTGCGTTGTGCGAAGACACAATGGATCCAGTGGATAATATAGTATGACATTCATACAGTAAATACCTGGTTGTAAAAACGATGTCCATTGAAAAGTATATAAACCATGAAAGATGAAACTGAATCATTCATCACAGCCGGTAAAGGAACCACTTGACATATAGTAGTTTAATCAGTTCTATGTTGGTTGGTATTACTAAAGATAATCTTAACTATGAAAATAATGAATGCAAAGTACTGTGGCAAGATTAAAAGTGTTGTCTGCAGATTTTTCGGAAGAGAATCAACCTTGCTTCTACGAATAAACGATCTCGATTCGCCTTCTTCCCAGAGTCTCGCTGTCTCGTTTCCCATCGTTTACAGTCAATGAGCTTTTCTCGTTAAATTTTTAGTATCGTTTATTTTGTTGAAATAAAAAGAACTCAGATTTCCAAAGCAACTGAATGATAAGTGAGGACTGAACAGTGATAACAAAGCATGATTAAAAAGAAAATTACAAAGCATTGATGTTCATGGTCTGAAGCAAACAGAGCGCTAGGAAAACTGAGAAGAAGGCTATACGCAATGCGCTAGCAAGTAAAACAGACTTATTCTTTTTTGCGTTTTTCGTCAAACGCCGGTCAGCGCGAGGAGAGCGCAAGGGCGAGTCACGCATAAGGTGAGTGCTCTTTTTCCCAAGCACGCGGTGTTATGCAAATATTCCCATCCTGCTGTAAAAAGACTTAAAAATATTCAAGAACATCGGAAACTGCAACGACAGATGATATCGAGATCGTTATCATGCGAGGTATGAATTAAAATAACTTCCCAGCGTGGTGCGAAATTAAAAATAGACTTAAAAAAAACAATCATAGGTCACGGGGATCGGTTCTCACAGTTGATATTCTCTTGCTTAAAAGTGAATCGCGTTTGCCTAGTTATGCCTGAAAACGCAAAAATTACGCTCGTTCTGCAGGGGAGCATTGGGCCGTCAGCATGGTTGTCGCATGAAACTAATGAAAACATGGAGGTTGCAATATGATTCCAAACCTGAATTTCTACCAATCGCTTGAGTGTGGGCGTAGAACTTTTAAAACGAGGCTTGAAATAAAGGTTGTGGCAGGCCACAGTCACCAAACGAGAAGCATGAAAATTGTGGTCGCCATCACTTTGCTTCGTCTTAGTGTCTACTGTGGTTACTGCTGCTTCTCAGATTCTTATTGTGATCACCAATTGTGATATCATTCTCGTTCAGCTCCTTATTCTATGTGCAAGAAAACATGGTGTTTATCCTATAAACATCTCCTGATTTTGCCCTGAAACTTACTGACCATCCACAGTTTGCTTGATTTTGATGCTTCATTTGTGATTCTTTCAGTACATCTTTCAAACATGAAGATGAAAAGTACTACATGTTTACACCTAAAGTCACCTATAAGTTAAAAGAGATGTCGAGCGTGCTAAATTATACCTGTAAGATAAGACCGCCAAAAGGAATAAGAAATGATCAACTGGCTTATTATAATTTTTCCATTCATTTTCAACGTTCAAATAAGTCAAAAAACACCTATAGTGAAAATTCTTGCTAGATGCCAATTTTGTCTTTTAACCATTCATCCTAAATATAAACAAATGACTAAATCATATTGAACTGGCTGACTAACTGTCTAACTGACCAACTTAGCTAACTAAATTCTTTACAACACAATTTTTGATGATCAGCGCTATTAAAAAAGGGCGTTCTAGGGCTGAAGCGATTTTCTCTCAGAAGAAATCCTATTGCAACATTCGGAAAAACCAAGCTGGTTTCGATTACGTTTAGACTAAGACAGATTCATGGGCAGAGTTTAAAAGAAATCGATTTTTTTAACCGAAATTCATCGGACCGCGTTTTAAGGAGGCTAAAAGCTTTTTTTTTCGTTCGTAATAATTGGCAACATCGATTATGGGAAAAAACTGGAAACTTAGCTCGCAAACACGGGCGAAATTTAAGGATGCCCGGAAGTCTCATCGTTTTAGCTGATTATCAGTTATGATATTAGGTAAGGATCGCATTAAGCCTGAGACACGCTGTCAATACACTTAAGCTAATATGAAAGCACGAGGCAGTAGGGCTAATTCTTTTCTTGTTTTCGAGTGTTTGGAAACTCTGATGAAACGTTTGATGCTTTATCAAATTTAAGGCTTTGATATTGCATGGAACCCGTGAATGATGCCTCAATTTTTCAACGAAGTTTCAAACCGCATGCACGCGACAAAATTAAGTCTCTTAGTTGGATGATCACCTTATAAATATTATTAATAATTGATGAGTTTGGAAAGAGAGAATTTAAAGCTCGGCAGACTTTCCAATTTCCAGTTCGCATTCTTACTTACAAGCTGAGCCTCGAAAACTCGTCGGTAAGTATAAGATCTCAATGAAACTTTTTTGATCGTTGTTTATTGGGTGCTTTTAGTTTTGTAAGCTCCTTTGCGCGTGCTTCAAGTGATACACGTTCCGTGTGATTTTTCATAGACTACTTCTTCGGCTTCTATTTGATTCCATTTCAATCATCGCTACTAGATCATCGCTGCTAGATCATCGCCATTTGTTCATCGCTATTAGTTTGTTCTTATAGATGCTATTGCTGTCAGTTATTTGCGATCATTAGGAGTTAGACTAAAGCAAGTCTTTATCTCTTTTCTATTTGCGATGTTTTTGTCTGTATTATTGGTGTAGTCCTCGTAGTCAGTTTCAAATACGTCTTAGCGCTATCTTCAACGATTATTAAAGATCACTTCACATTCTATGTGCGTTCGAATAGTCTACTCAGCAACTTAGGTATCCTTTTGGGGTTACACATGTATATTATTTTTTATTAACTAATAATCACATGATTTTTCTCGTGCAATGTGGGATAAATCAGCCTTTGAATAATTTACTCGTGCTGATTTATCCCAAATTGCAAATTGCATTCCATATTTCAAAGAGAAGGAAAACTGCACTGCAGCTTAACAGGAAGGAGACTCTAAAGCCAGGTAAAAAAAGTGCTCACGTCATGATTAATTATTACCGTTGGTATCCATGTAGATTTGGCTGGAAATGGAAAACTTCAGCAATGCGTTGAAACACTTAAGGAAGAAACCTTTACCCTGCAACGAACCAGAGCTCAGAAAAGTAGCCTCTCAATTTGTAACCCCATTTTACCTTTACGACAAGCAGAAAATAATAACAGGAGCAAAGCACTTCAATGACAGCTTTGCCTGGGTGCAATCATTAACTGGATCGAGTTTTAGGAATCATTTTGCAGTGAAGGCAACACCGACCCCTAAAATTATGAAAATGCTCTATGAGGATTGTGGAATGGGAATGGATTGCAGCTCACTGACCGAACTCCTCCTCTGTGAAAAACTGGGAATTAAAGGCGAAGATATCATATTTACATCTAATAACACTCCTTTCAAAGCATACCGAAAGGCGTTTG